GTTTCCAGAAATATCAAGTTTAGTCCCTAAGTTCAAAAAACCTCACAGATGGTCCCTGTGGTTTCAAAACTTTTAACAAATGATCCTTCCGGTTCACTCCGTTAGCATTTCACCATTAACTCATTTTTAATAAAATATTGCAGGGGTAATTTCGTCATTTCAGTTGTAACCTTCTCTCTTTAAAAGAGATTGCATGTCCGATTTTTGGCCAAATCCTTTAGCTTCATCAGTCGATCATCTCTCCTCCTTTCCACTGTTGCTCGACCGTTGCACCCTTCACGACATCCAATCGCTTCTGATTCAAAGATGGTGACTTGCAGATGTGGGAATAAAGCAACGAAGATCACTTCATGGACGGATCGTAACCCTGGAAGACAATTTTGGAATTGTAGAAGATATGGTTTCATTCGATGGTCAGATCCTCCTATGTGTGGTAAGGCTTTGGTGGTGATTCCAGGTTTAATAAGATCAAAGAATCGATTGGAAGAGAAGAGAGGGTCGTCATTGTAACTGCAAAATTGTGGAACTACCAACTAATGTTGTTTTGTTCATGGGTGTTTTTTTTGGTATTATTTTAATCTCTAAGTATCTTGTGAAGGTTTGGATGGTAATGGAGTTTTGGTTTTTGATTTGTAACCATTGCAAGGTTTTTTTTTTTTATTTTAATCGGAGAGGGTTTTTTTGCTTTCAGTTTATGTAGGTGGTTTTGGAATTGGTGTTGTTGTATTTGGTTTATGTATCAGATTAATGTGTAATGCAGTGGTAATGGTAATGGTAATGGAATGTAGTTTGTTATAGTTCATTGTCCAATTTCTTGAATGTTTTTGAAATGCAATTCTTAAGTGTATTGTAAATGCATCTTGAAGATGGTTTTCATTTGCAATTGAAATGTACAATGTTATTAATTGATTTATGAAGGGTAGTACACAAAACATATTAATTCATTACCAAAAAGTGCATACACACCATTACATTCAAAGTTATAAAGTTCTTAACACAACCATGATGCAAAGTTTTCAAAAGACCTACAACACAAGCATTACATGCAAAGTTTTCAAGTTCTTAACACATCTTCAAACAAGTACACATGACATAAGTTTCTAAATACCTACAACACCAGCATCCTAATAACCATTAAGTTTCAACCCCCTCCAACTTCACCACTGCCTCCCTACCCTTTACATGTTCTGGAATTGTGCCCTTTGTTATGACACTTTGAACAAGTGACTGCCAAATATTTCCTGCTCAATCTACCAGCTTGACTGTTTGGCTCATCAACACCCCTCCTTCTCTTCTTCTTAGGCCTCCCAACCTACACATGTTGATATACTATAGTTAAAATTGAATTCATTCCATGTTCACATGTATACTATATTTTTTGTGTACTTTAAATACAAACCTGTGTCTTATGTTTTGGTGGAAGTAAAGTGAATGGCAAGTCACTTTTAGGACACATTGTACGTCCATTCAATGGATCAATTTTGTTGAAATACATGGCTTTCCATGTTGATAACCTATTGCAAGGATGGACCCTTTCATCAACATGTGGGGCATTTTCACCATTTTCAATTTTGTCCCATATAGCACAAACAGCATGTCTACATGGGAAACATGTAATCTCCCAAAAGCTACAACTGCAACTTTGATCATTCAAGTTTACCACATATTGGTCTTGCCATGTGCTTGCCACTTGGTACTTCCCTGCCCCATTGTATTTAGCCACATACTTTGATACATCAGCCTTAATCTTTTCAAACAGTGTAGTTGCAGTAGGGTTTAGAAGTCCTTCACACTTATCTATTTTCTTTTGCACAACACATAACCTCTTCATGAGATACTCTCTAATATACTCTAAGCAAGTGATAATAGGTTTATCCCTGCCTTCATCTAGCTTAGAATTAAATACCTCACAAAGGTTATTCAACAAACAATCAGTATGTTCCCTTCCTGAATAATAGATATTAACACAAGACAATTACACATATAGTAAACACAAAACATGGAAGATTAACATTTCTCAATAAATTTCTAGAAACTTACCACTAAAGTGAGATTTAGCCCAAGTGTTTGCTGGGATCTTAGACACCCAAGCATGAGCCTCTGCATTGATCTTCTTCAACTCATCCGTTGCTCTATTAAAATGATTGACTATTGTTGCCCTACCACACTCCCAAAGCTGGTCACTTAATTCTTTTCCTTTCCATTGTTTCTTCATGTTTTCCTGGATATGCCTCAAACAGAACCTGTGTTCTGCACTAGGGAATACCTTCTCCATTTCTGGTATTATTCCCTAAACAAAAGTCAATGTATGCAACATTAGTTAACCAAATGTATTTAGAAAAGGTAATAAAAAGAGTTAGCTGGTACACACCTTTTGTCTATCTGAAATGAAGGTAAATTTTGAATTTGGTCCCAGATCCAGATCTTCTCCTAACAGTTCCAAGAACCAGGTCAAACTACTTGTTGATTCTGTCTCTACCACTGCATATGCTACAGGGTATATGCCATTGTTTGAGTCCAACCCTACAACAGTTAACACTTGCCCAGGGTAAGGGCCCTTCATGAAAGTACCATCCAGACTTAGAAAATCTCTTAATCCAGATTTGAATCCTAACTTCAATGCACCTAAACAGACATATATTCTTCTAAAAGTTCTTGTGGTAACAGACAGGGAGATTTCTGGATACACATCAATCCGAACTGTTGTACCAGGATTAGTGTTGAGTAGCTCCAACACATAATCCGTCAAAAATCCATACTGTACTTGGTAGTCCCCACTAATGATACGCTCAGCCATTGACTTTGCCCTAGCAACCTTTTGCAATGACATTCCTACCTCCAGTTTCTTGCACAACTCTTCGTGTAAAGCTTTCACTGGAATTTTAGGGTTACTCTGTATTTGTTGAACAATTAAGTTTGCTACGTATCTGGAAGTGCAAGCTTTAACCGCCCTTGTTTGCAAACATTTATGCTCATCCCATACTGTTTTCACCAACCAATCCTGATTTTCATTAGCCCTCGATATTTGGATTGCCCATGGACATGTACCTTTATTGGCAATTACATCTTTACCCTTGCACTTTGCCCTACTTCTAGTTGAGGGCCCACCACCATCAACTCCTGTAGAAGGCTTACTTAAAACACCTTTACATTTCACCCTAATCCGGATTTTCTCATTTTTGGCTAGGTATAAAGACCTCCTTGTTGCTACAGCATGTGAGTTCATGTAGTTTTTAACATCAATCTTGGTTTTGAAGACCTGGCCAATCTGAAATGGTTTAACATGAACCTCTCTATATGAGCATGTACTTGACTTACTCAACTCTTTTAGTAGTCTCTTCCTATCATCTTCATGAAATCCTGCAAATTGATAATCATCAGTCGCAATAACTTCCAACTCGTCATCAACCATGTCAATCCCTTCATCTTTTGAATGATTGTTCAAGATTCCATGTTCATCTACATCAACAGCACTATGGAATTCACTCATGTCTACATCTACATCAAATTGTATGTTAGGCTCATCCACATTGTATTCACTATCATCAGAATCATCTCCACTATCCTCATAACCATGGCCACTCTCAGAGTAGAAAGCTTCTCCACTATCATCACTCACCATACCCTTTAGATAATCCACTTCAGGTTGTTCTTCAAATGAAGTTTCAACATTAAACTCAGCATCATAATCAGCATAAAGTGAGTAATCCTCTATAAATGGTTCATAATCATCAACTGTTGTAGTATTAGCTCCATCATCAGCTTGGCAGCTTGGTTCCTGTACATGGTAAGTTCCCAATGGTTCTTCAGTTTCAACTGCACTAGTGATCACTTCTTCTTGAGTTTCAATTTCATGATTCACCACTTCCTTTTGAATGACATGACTTTGTTTGCCTTGTGACATTATAATGGTACAATACTCTTTGAGTAATCTTGGCCTTCATCAACATCTAACACTTGTGACTGCTCATAATCAGGGTTCATAGACTTGTTTAGATCAAGCTTTCTACTACATGATCCTGCTTCTCTCTTATAAGGTTTCTTTCTATTCATTTCAGGTGACAGACTATCAGGCTCCAACTCTTCAATAACAGCTTTAGAAGGAGACTTGTAATAAGTAGCTACCCTTGTCTGACCAGTTTCAATATACACCCTAATAAGTCTGTGTTTAGGGACATATGATACCATTTTAAGTACATCTTGATCATTACTTAAAGGCATTAATCCATAGTCTAAAGGGTATTCAGGGATACAGAAATGGTAGTAAAGGGTTTGCTCAGTTTTGTACCCTAGTTCTCGAACCATGTCGTCATGCTCGTGAACTGAAAATAAATCAGTGTCAACATCATCTACATATGCTACAACACCATCAACGTATTTCCTTCCAGGTGCTTTGGTGAAGACACCACTGTAGTGTATCTTCAACGTGAAATAGTTGTCATAGCCTTCTGTAAACACAAAAAAAGAGTAAAATCAATGATCTCCTTACATCAACACAATAGACCAAGAAAAAACAAGTTTTGTTGTAGTATTGTACCGTATCTTTTTCCTAAGTCCTCCACGGTTACAAATTGTTCTCTAAAACACCATAATGATAGCACCATTGCAATTTCTGCAGCTTAAAACCCTAAATCCCAATTTATGTTCTTGCTTCTACGATGGGAATGAACCCGATGACTAAACCTATAACTGGTTATCTTCTTGGGAGAGGGATGGGTAGTGATGTGCAAGCAAGTAATAATTTAATATTAAAGAGAGAAGGTTACAACTGAAATGAAGAAATTACCCCTACAATACTTTATTAAAAAATGAGTTAACGATGAAATGCTAACGGAGTGAGTCGGAAGGACCATTTGTTAAAAGTTTTGAAACCACAGGGACCATCTGTGAGGTTTTTTGAACTTAAGGACTAAACTTGATATTTTTTGAAACCACAGGGACCATCTTTTTGAGGTTTTGTCTTAAATAATTTTCAGTTATATATATGCATTATGCATTATGCCAAATGTAAGTATTTATATTTTTTTGAAGTTTTATATATATGATTTTTTTAATATAATATACTTGTCAAGTGAGAACCAGCTTGCGTAGAGATATGAACCAATATTTCGCTTAGCACTAGCCTTAAAAACGTTATAATCGTTGGCTACAAATAAGCCCTTCTAAATAAAAATATTCATATTATAGCGCATGATTTATGATGTGACCTTTGTCTCCGGTTACTGTAAGTTTCGGTACCGACGACTCAATCGCTCCTCGGTGGCGAGGCTACATACATCAAATTTGCATCATTCGACCCACCTATTTTTTTATTTTTATAAAGGGTTATATAAAAATATAAATTGTGAACTACCTTAAATATTTTAAATCCACCACCTTAATGCTTTGGGCAGAAACAAATATGATGTGACATCCTCATTTTCACGCCCAGAAAAGATCGATTTTGTTTATGCTTTATAAAAATCAGAGTACCTCTTTTAGTAAAAATGTTTCGGAATTTGTTCCCAGTAAAACATGATAAATACGTTATCAAAGCATTTCCGAAGAAAAGTATTTTTAATTCGTTTTAAAACATTTGGGATCTACGGGCGTTACAATTATCTCCCCCTTAGGATGATTACATCCCGGAATGATCAACGAAACAGGGCTTGTATAATGACTCCATACGTCATCTTTTCATCCATGGTAGTAATTATAACTTCTATATTCCTTCAAGTCTATCTCTTAGACTTATTGACTGTAAGCAGTACTCGATCGTGCATCTGCTTTCTATCTCAGGTTAGACTCCAAATTATGACCTACCATCATGTGATGCACGTTTAGACTCAGGTCTCTTATAGTTATATTCCAAAACAGACTATACCTTCCTTCATGATCTAATGTGATATAATCACATTTAAAAGGTAGCATTTCTAGCTACAAGTAACTTTTCGTGATACCTCTACTGATCGCTTTTTATTCCAATCTTCCGTCTTAAGTCAGATGCTACATCGAACTTGATTTTCTAAACCACATAGGATACTCAGCGTAGTCAAAATCAATTCTATATGACCACTAGGGTTGGAATATCAACAATCTTTTTAGTCATTACCGAAACGATGGTAACGACATACTTGAATAAAACGGTATCAATTACTAGCTTCGTGGTAACCTTGTGACTTTCAATGATCCAAGCGTGAGTCCTGTGCTTCCGGTAGTATAAGCATCTACTACCTTTCACGCCTACTCATAGTCGTCCCAAGTATTGTCTCACAGTTTTCCAAGTCACCATACAAGAAAATCACATAACATTTTAACACATCAGATAGCAAAACGAAGGCTTCATTATTTCTTGAAAATATTACATAGGTGTTCAAGTTCACCCTATACTATGCCTCTAATAGGCTACATCATATTGTTCTATCTCTTAGGCTACCTCATAACTCGGTCTTCGGGTATGGATTCCTCATCCTTGGTTCCTTGCATGGTTTTCTGCCTCGTCAAGGATCATATGGAATGCCCTTGGCTTTGGTGGTGTGTTTGGCTTTGCTGCGTAGTCTTTCTTTAGGCAATTTCTTGATAAGTGCCCCTTGCGTCCACATCTGTAGCATACCTTATCATTATGTGTGCAGTCCTTGGAATAGTAACCAGTCCTCCCACACTTGTAACAAGTTAATTCTTCGTGGCGCTTCCGACAATGCTTCTTCTTGCATTTATCAATCTTAGAGAGTTCAGTAGAAACCCAGTAGGGAAATAGCTTCATCCTCTCAGTGAATGCGGTGGCATACTCATCAACACTCATCTTCCCTTTCTTTAGGTTATGAAACTTGTTGTTTAGGTCTATCAGATCTATCTCTGAGTAGTACTGCATTTTCAACTATTCCAAAAACTCTTCCCATGATTTTTAGATTAGTGTCTAAGTTCATAACTATTTTGGTATGTACTTGACCCGATTGTGCATGGTCCTTTTGGGTTGCCATCACACTGGTGACTAGACAGGATGATTGTTGAGGAAAGAGGCTGGTTTATTGTTAAGAATAATAAATTAGGTTATAAATATGATTTGTTAATATATTATATGAATAATATATTAATTTGGAATCATATTATTAATTAGTATTTAATCAGAAATTAATTTAGAATTAATTTTGGGATTAAAGGCACTGACTGAAAGTGTAGGGGCTATTTTGTAATTATTCAATAGTTGAGGCTTTGGGCCATTGGATCACCTTTATTAAGGCTTGAACGAAAATTCTAGAAGGATCTAGGAGTTTTCGTCCAAGGGTTTAAGGAAAGGAGTCCATGGATATGCTTAGGCCCTAAGCTAAGGGATTAGGGTTAACACCTTGAAACCCTAGTTAGCCTTAAGTATAAATAGCACCCTAAGGCACTAAGATTTCGTCCAAGCTTTGGGAAACCCTAAAAGGGACGAATTCTAGGGCAAGGTACCCTTGTCTCCTCTCTCCAATATTCATCCTTTTACCTAGTGTGTTTGTGAGCCATTAGAGGTACTACACTTGTGGTACTTGCTTTCAAGAGCTAAGGAAATTCAAGGAACTAGTTGTTATTGCTATATACCAACAAAAGGTATGTATTCTATTTTTATATATGAATTTCGAAAATAATAGTAGCATGCAAGGTTTCTTTTTGTGTTCATAAAGTTGTATAACTAATAGTGAAAACATATATCCAACTCTAGGGTTACATGCACACATAGGATTGTTTGTATAAAACCCATCAGTGGTATCAGAGCCATTGGTTTTTTTTCAATTAGCATTATTATAATGTATGAACTTGAAAAATTAGGGTTTATTGCTAGTAAACCCTAGGGCTTGGTAATTTTCGCAATTAGGGTTACAAAACCCTAGTTGGCGATTTTTTGATAGGGTTTTAAACCCTTTCCTTAGTCTCCAAGATTTTGAAATCTAGGGTTATCCAACCTTTGGATTTCGAAATTGCCTCCTTCCCAAGGTTAGATCCTAAATTTTAGGGATTTGGATAATGCCATATCTTGGAATTATTCTTTAAATGTTTAAATTTGGTAATTAAAGATTTTGATTTATCACATCCCATAATTTCGAAATCTAGGGGATTTAAGGGATTAGATTAAATTAATTGTTTAATTTAAAAGATATCCTTACCAAAATAAAAGATAATTGTCAAATTAATTAGATAATCATTTCCTTATGTGATAAACTTGATTTATTTTAATTATTTGATAGATTATCTTGCAAGAAATTGAATTATGTCATATTTAGATAATTACTAATTAATTGGTTAATTATTATTATTTGTAATTTGATCTAGAATGTTCTTGCTTATGTTTTGAAAAGTTTCAAAACTTGCCCTCAAGTTTTGGAATTTAAATTGTTTGATTAAAAGGTTTAATTTTGAAAAAGTCTAAATTCTAAAACCCTAATTTTGAAAAGTTCAAATTACACCCTTATGGATTTATTAAATTAATTAAGTGTATAATTAAAAGAGAGTTAATAAATCCATAATGATATGGTTTATATTTAATTAAATTAAAAGTGTAATTTAAAAAATTAAACCACCTAGTATTTTAAAAGTGTAAAATACACCCTTATACTATGTATAACATTAAAAGTCTAATATTATATATGAATAACTTAAATGTTAATCTTACCGTTAGTAGGCCTCATTCACGAAGTCGGTCTATAAGGGGGGTATAAGGTTATGGCCTATAAAATAATCGTTTAATGGGTGTCCACGCTCACGCACCGCTTCTTGATTGGTGGAGGGTCGTTAGCCGAACGGGTAGGATAGGGCAAACCCTTTGCATTAAAAGTATAATGAAGTATAAAGTAACTAAACGTTTTTACAAAATTCCCAATCTTAGTTACTTTAGGCAAAAGTGAATTGATGCAATTCCATGAAATTACACTTTGTGCCTTTGCAAAGACG